TATAAAGTGATATTGTTTCAAAATTATCACAACAAAAAAATTTTAATGTGATTTCTCTTTAAAAGTGTAATAGTAATGAAAATTTGATTTATTTGTTAATAAACTAAATTCACTCACGTTCTTTAATATTTGCTTCAACTTCACGATGTTCAAGTAATTTTTTGCGATAATCTTGTAAAGCTTTGGCACGTCTATCAGGTTCAACAGAAGCGGTGGAAGAGGATGCCATAAATTATTTGATTTATATTATTATTAAGTAGTAATCTACAAACAAATCTATATTTACAAGAAGTGTAACCATTAACGCAATCAAATTTACACTTTTTCTCCTGCATAGGTAGAAGGCGGCTAGGCTAGCATAAAAAAATAAGTCAGTATAGTTTTATTTCAGTTTGGTCAATTATCCGAATTATTATTAGATAATAATAAGAGTGATGATTAAGTATTACTTTTCATAAAATGGTAATAAAAGGTTAATTGATCATTTAATTGATCACCTTTTTTTATTATTATTGCTATTAGGAGAATGTTGTAGTTGTGATATAATAGTTCAAATTATAATTGTTCACTCGGGCAATAAATAGGCTTGATGTTTTAATTAATATTATACAAGATCCAGCACAAATTTGGGAACAGGGTATTAAGCTTAAGCTTAAGCCATTCGCTCAAAAGATTTTCATTTTGAAAATTAACCAAGATGTGGTTGAAAAAACCATTAAAATTTGTAAATATCAAAATGTAAATATAATAATTATTATAATTGCTATGTTTTCGACCATTTTGCACAATATTTAAAAACATAGTTCCTAAAGGTATTAATGTAATTGTTTTTGTGATATACGACAATCCAACAATGATTTACAATCAATTTTCAATGGATTTGGAATACACCCATGCTTACATAATAATAAAAGATTGCTGTCACTCTTTTATTCCGGTCGCGTTTACTTTGTCGAAAATTATTTCGTCGACAATCATTTCGTCGTCGAAAGTTTGTTTCGTCGAATGTTCATTTCGTCGAAAATTATTTCATCCTCGAGCCAGAGACCGAACGAATTAGATGTAAGGAGTGTGGGAAGTTAGTTAAGAAATTAAGTGAAGAAAGCGAGGTGTGTGGGAAGTGTGAGGAGGAATTTGTTTAATGAAGTTTTTTTTTTGTGACGAAATAATTTTCGACGAAATGAACTTTCGATGAAATGAACTTTCAATGAAATGAACTTTCGATGAAATAGGTGTCGACGAAATGACTGTCGACGAAATGAATCAGACCCCACTGCTGCTATGAATCCAAAAAAAAATGGGGTGCATGAGACCAACTTGCCATTTAGTAACTCAAAAATCGAACCAACTAGGCCTACTTAAAGTTAATGCTTATGCATCTAACTGGTATTCTCTATTCAATGGCTAGTTAACTATTACTATAAAATCCAACCAATCACCTCCAAATCTAATTGAATGTAATTAAAGTTGTGGGCGAAACTCCTCCAGAAATCAATTGACAGAGTTTTGACAAGGTATATATTAATTGTTCATTAGAGTTTTGACAAAGAGGTTTTGGCAAACAACATTACTTTGAAAGGGATGAGTTCCAAATTTATGGGACAATTCACACACATGGCTTTGCTTAACACAGGAAGAAAGGCAAGTGAATTGATCTCTTTAAATACAATCCGTACCAACATCCCTGACCCTGTTACAGAAAAGATGTCACATGAATTGGTCATTAAATTTAAAATCCATCATTGTAATCAAGTGTGTGGAGGTTAAGGAGCCATGTTCCAGAGGATTCCCCAACCATTATCAAATGTAACATATTGCTCAACTTATTCATTACATTACATATATATATCATTGTATAAAAGATGAGGATAGGACGGTTGTTCCACACCACCCAGAAACCTTATTGATATGGGACGGCCACATTAATTTCCAATATGTATGTCCTATTTTAGCATTATTTGATTGAATTTGATGTTTTAATTTTTTGATTTGACATTTCTAAAAATCCAAAACTGTCAAATCACTGGACTTACTGTCCCCCTGCTATTTTTTTTTCTAGGACCAAATTTTTCTAAGGCCAACTTTTTTGATTGTGAGGATTGGGCATGAAATGCTGAATTGGTAATCTGTATTTTGGCCATTGATTTGGCATGATAAATTTGAATACCAATCAAGGTATAATAGAGAGAGCAGTAAATTCAGTAAAAAACATATATGGTGCACGCCATTATAACCCATCAAATGCTGCGCAAAATATTTCAAATTCACAAAAATTTTTATTACTTTCATTACAAATTTGATGTTAAAAAAAATTGAGGTAACGTGGCATAATTAAAGATGTCAATCAAAAATGAAAATATTATTAGTTTAACTCATCTATTTCATCTATCACATTGTCTGGAATCCTTCTATGTGACTTATATTTTTTTTTACAATGTATTCAGCCTGTAAGTACTGTTAATTCTTTTCTGTAACAATCCATAAATCTTGAGCTTTCACCACATACTTTTTAGTTTTGTTTCAGTGATATAGAATCAAAAGCATTGGGGACATTCTCTTGAAGACCTTTACATGTGTAGTTACAATGTTGTCTAACATATCATTTAGCAGCCCCCAAATACATTTCAATGTAGTTAAGTTCACAGTGAAACTTTGGATAGAAGATGACCTTCTTCAATTAATTCTTGTAGTAAGGGTTTTTAGTTTTTAAAATCATCTTGGTTGCTAAGATATGTCTAGCACAACAAGTCAAAGGTCCTTCAAGAGAAACTTTAAACAAAAAAAAATCGAATGGGATTATTTTATATTCATAAATTCAATGCAATTATTATTATCAAGATTTATTGACTAAAAAAAAACGCGTGAAATTTTCAAATTTTATGGATGAATTATGTATATCGCATGATTTACCAGAATTAAAAATCTATTTTATGTGTGACTTAATGTGGGCCAAAATTACATGTTTCAAATTTGAAAAATTTTATATATAACATATAAAAATGATTTTCAAAAGCTTATAACTCTCGAACCAATAATTATTTTTTAATTATCTCGATTATAGATTGTAGAACTGGTCAAAAGCTATCAAATATCGTCTCAATAATTTTTTGATAAGCACACAATATTTTCTTTTTAGGTTTTAAAGCTGGTCAATTTTTATTTGATGGGTTGTTGTGGCGTGCACTATACAAGGGAAATTTTTTACAATATGGGAAGATTAATCAGATCATGATATAGATGAGTACAAATTAAAGAATATATATATATACAAATTGATAGAATGATGAATATCATAGATTATGGTACAACTCTGAGGAAGCAAGTATGATGGTATAAATAATAAAAGAAATAAAACCAATCATGATCATGAACAGGTAAGGAAAGCTCTGAATTGCACACTATCTACTACCTTTTTGCATAAATTTGATACCTATATCTTTGAGAATAAAGGAAAAATAATGATCCGAAATCATTATATTTCCTATGTAAACTAATGATTACAAAAAAATAAAAAATTACATAAAAGCTTACTTCAGTCAAACCTCAATAAGCCGAACCACTACAACCCGATTTTCATTTTATAACGATACAAAATTGGTTAACCAAAAACATAATTAATTATAATTGTAAATCATCAAAAACCGAATTTTGATAAATCGATCCCATTTTTGTGATTCAGCTTATCGAGGTTTGACAAAACAGTTCGAACCATACGAAACCATCAAATATTTGAATATTTGAATCAAGCGGATCATTAAAATTATTTGAATATTCGTCACTTTTTAATAATAAATTTCTTTGTTTTTATTAATTTAGACCAATTCGGGTTTTTCATAAAAATATTTTTTGATAGTGTAGGACAAAAATTCTAGATACAATCAAACCTTGTCACAGCGGACTATAATAACAATCAAACCTTGTCATAACGGACTTTAAAAATATATAAAAATCCGCTGCGGAAAGATTAGTAATCTTGCCACAACGGATTTTTATGTTTTTAAAGTCCGTTATGACGAGGTTTGACTGTAGTATATTTGGTTCAAATGACATTGTTGGTTAGAATCAAAATTTTAATAATATGTCTCAATCTGGTTCATATGTAGCTTTACATACTTTATAACCAATCAATCAATATATGGTATCAAACAGGTTTGATTTTCTTAGAATGCCAAGTGATTATGCGAATGCATATTTCTGAAAATTCTAATTAATATTAATATGGAAAATAAAAATGAAAAATTCGAAAAAGTAGACGTTTATTTTCGAAACTTTATTATCAAAGTAAATAAGGTTTAATGGATATCCTTTTATATTGAAGAAAACAATTGTATATTCTACACAAATCCTTGATTTTGTCAATAATTATGCAGGTTATACATATATTGTGGCTTTTTATTGTTGTTTTTACTTTAAAGCAAGATTTTTTTTTCAATTTTGCTTTAAATGTCTTAACAATTGATGAGATGATACAAGCCTTCATACTGGCATATTGTTCTATAGAATGTATGATGTGTGTTCTATTAATAGCTTTGAAAGCTTATTTATTTTGAAAATTGCTCGGCAAAAGATTGTCGATCTTTTTCCCAAAACATGATGTTCAATTAGATTTAGTAATTTGACAATGTCAAAAAACTGCATGCATATGCGCGCTTTATTTGGTAAAAACATAATAATATACATCAATGTTCTCTTTAGGGATTTTTTTATTTTGTTGAAATTCGATGCCACATTAAGAAAACTTGATTCGGTTTTTTTTTTATATAAATGATGAGCGAATTCTACCAAAGTAAAAAACAACAAACTATCATTTGTTTAAAAAAAAGAAAATGCATACAATCAATAATATTATTATTTTCTTGTTCCTTTTATTCGCAACGGTGATAAACTCATTCCCGTATAATGATGTCAGAAAAAGAGCAGACAATGTTGGTAAATACACTCAGTGTGCTGGTACGTTTCCCATAACTGTTATCAAAGATACATACACTCCGGCGATATTTATGCCGGATCAAAAGATCACCGAACACATTATATGGGATAGCACTGTCGAAATTTTACCGACAACCATCTTTACTGTGACTGCCACTCAACTTGATGGCACATTAATCCTATCCCATCAGCACACTTATTGTGAAAGTCCGCACAAACCCCTTAATAAAAAATGTCCAATTCCAGCAGGACACCTCGACTTTGAATCTCAATATGTGATCCCTAGTACTCCTGACCAACCTAAGGCTCAAACCGTCGAGTTTTTCGTAAACATGACTCGTAAGTTATCTATTTTTATTTATTAATTTGCTTTGAAACTGGTTATTCTAATTCTTCTAATAATTATATATTATTTTATTATTTTAATTTAGTTACCAGCACGGACGGAACTATTTTAATGTGCACAGAGGGCAAGCCCTCCATGAAATTTCCTTAATCATATATTTTATGTATTTTCTTTATTAAATATTTAAATTACAAATGTCAAAGACAACTATTTCATAAAAAAGATCCTTTTTGTATATAGGAAGTTTCCTAAATCTTAATATTTTTGAAATGTTATAAAATTTTTTTGTTTTAAAACTAGTCCAATAAAATAACTTTCAGTCCAATAATTGTTCTCTACCTGGAGAGCCCTGTAAAAAATGCCACTCCAGAATATTTCCATTATATATCCGTGATCATATTTATCACTCCGTAAATGTTCAGTTTATTTCATAAAAGCAGCAAGGACATTTGTAAATGTGAAATTAAAACGAAATGTGAGAATAAGATTTTATAGCTCTGGAATATTATTAACTGATAAATTCGCAAATAAAAATGGACATTTTTTTTTTACAAGTATTTTATTTGTTAACTATAAACTTGATTAAACATACTAATATTATCATTAATAACGGAAAAAAACACTGAGACTAATCACGGAGTAAATTTTTTACGGGGTAGTTGTTGATGGTAAAGCAAGAAATATTCATGTCAAATTATACTAGGAATGGATTTAATTCCAAAATTAGTTTCTTATTTTATAATTCAGCTACCATTTGAACTAGTTATGAAAAATTCAATTATGTTTGTTATTATGTTTTATTGATTATAAAACTAGATATTGATCATCTTAATTTGAGTTTTATAGGAATTTTATTATAATTATATTCTTCTGCTTCATCATCTTCATCATCATCTATATCCATCAAATTCTTGTCAAACTCATCCTCATCATCCTCATCATCCTCGTCATCTTCGTCCTCCTCATCACCAACTTCTTCATTATAATTTTGATTCATTACTTTCTTTTCAATATCAATCAATTGTTTATTTAAAAATTTTGAAAATAAATTATTTTTTAATTCAATTTCTGCCCAAATTAAATCATTATCAATTCCATCAACAATCAATTCTTCAAATGGATTCCTAATATCATCATCATCATTAGATGTTGGTTTATTATTAGAAAAAAAATTTTTTTCTTCTTTCACTCCTACAATTAGAATTAGATTTAAAAATTGCAATATTTCGATTGTTTGATTGATTGCACAATTAATGATTGGAAATACCTAAATCAAAAAGTTCTTTTGTGACTTTTAATGCTTCTATTGAATATTCTTCATTTTTTGGTATTATGAATCCTTCAGGCTTTTCAATTATATTGTTTATAAAACCTTTTGTTATTGGTAATGTTGTAATAGTAGTTGTTGTTGTTGGTATTTTTGTATCTGTTGTCATTATTTAAAATATTTTTTTTTGTGAAGTTACACGATGCATAGTGAACAAACTCAAATTTAAAAAATATTTTCAAATTTCAGACCAATCAGAGCCTCTTTTATCACGCGAGAAATTCAATAAACACTTTCTTGTTATTTACGCGATCTTAATATTGTGTAATTGATTAATAATTTTTTATTAATTAAAAATGCTACCTTTCTAAAAGAAAAGACAATATTTAAGTAAACAGGGAGATGAAGATGGTAAGCAAAGTTGATAAAGAAAAGGGATCAAATAATTTGGATAATGATAATAATGATGATGAGAAAGAATTGAACAAATCGGATAAACTGAGTGATATTAATAATAATGATAAGTGAGGCGAGGATAGTGAGTGATTGGGATGATATAGAAAATATAGAAGAAGATATCAAAAATTATTTATTGTGGAAAAATGATAGTTAATTAGAAATGACAAGGAGAGAGGGGTCCATACATGAGAGGAAAGATACCAAAAAGTCTCCAATACTTTTTTAAAACAAATAATAATGAAGCTACAGATCAACAATTATCCAGGCTCAACGAAGATATAGAAGAAATTTTAAACAATTCAATGGATGAAGCGTGCCAAATAGATGAAAAAAAAAAATACAAAATCTAAAGATGAATTAGATAAACAACACAGCCAGCCAAAAACAGTTACTGAACATAAATCGGAAAAGAGCTATTTATGAATACCTTACCTTATAAATAATGGCACTTGTAAAAAAATTAATGCTAGCTTGGAAGTTGCTAAAAAATCATTCATTAATGGTGGTCCATGGAAAGCAAGAAGAATTAGACATTCTGCAAACTTAACAATAAACTTCCAATATCCAGACAAGGGAAACATCAAAAACACATGGGTTAATTGACGATGAAGATATTGTTGAAATGTGTAAAGTTTGGATTTGTAAACAAAATTATAATGCTACTCCATCTAATTTAAAAATTTTATTAAAGAATTGTTAAAATTGGAGTCACCAAAAGAATTATTTTGAAGAGTCACAAAGTAATAAACAAATATTCAAAAGAATGCGACACACCCTAAATGATTTTAAGGTTGTAGAACCTACAGTGCTTGATTTAATTACAAAGACAGCCTATGAAAAAAAAACCATCTAAATCTGAATCAGTACTGAATTGGTAATTAATATATTAATAAATTATTAGCATTCTTTTACAATCAAATCATTGTCACCAGTGGATACTTTGATGAACTATATGAAAAAGTTATCATCACATGACCTCGAAATGCAAGTTAATAGTAAATGATAAACACCAGTATTAATGAATTGTTAAATTCTTTTACCATCCAATTACCAGTATTTACTTTGAGTGCTTTGATGAACTAGATGATGAAAAAAGTTATTGTCACATGATCCTGAAAATAAGTTAATAATAAATAATAAACACCAGTATTAATAATTTGTTAAATGTAAAAAGTTATTGTCACATGATCCCGAAGCAAGTTAATACGCTCTCCTCAAATAATAGTTGGTGACAGTATGGACAAAAGAAAAAAGGTTTTTTAAACAATTACATGTTCTATTCATTTGATTTGTCTCAGCTGTAAAAAATGATGAAGCTGCATACAAATAGCAAATATATCAATGTAAATTAATTGTCAAAAAGAGCCAAAATATTTTGAAAAAAATAATAATAAAAATTTGTTATTAGCTAAGCAGGTTCTTTAGAAAATTTACTTAAATGGAAAAGGACTCAAAACTTTCTACTATGTACAATTTTAACCCTTACCTATTCTCCTATTTTTAAAATTTTTTGCTTTACCCATAATTTCATATGACATAAAAATTGCTTTACTATTACTATTACCTGATTTCGGATACGACTTATAATAAAAAATTTTCTGCTATATCCAAAATAGTCACACCACTTATTAAAAATCTATCCAAATTTTCATGTAACTTCAGCAAAAAAACTTTCACTAATAATCATCTTTATCAAATTTGGTCGGGTGACTTCAGAGACCCAATTTATCAATCAAATCAGTGCAATATTTTGGTAATGTTTAGAAAGAATTGGCAGCGATACTATCTCTCTCTGGAAATTTTCGAAAGAAAAGGAAAATTTCGTTTCACAAAATTGATTGCGTTGTATAAATCTTTTGATCATTGATCATTGATCACTCTCCCAATTTTTTTTAAAACGTTCAGAGGTTGTATTTATAAGTAAAAACAAGATCTTTTATGAATTTGGTTCCTTCCACATGTGATTTTTTTATAAAGGAAACGAGCATTGAATTCGTAAACGATGACTACTAGAAATTGCAAACAATAAAATCAATGAATAATTGTATCAAGTCGACTCTAAAATATTAAACTTTTAAACTTTCCCTCTAGTTAAAAGAAAATATGATCACGAAAAAGATTGTGAAAGACAGTGATCAAAGCAATAGTGGGTTTGTTTGCAAATTTCCAGGTTCTGGTAAAACTTCCAGGTTTAGTCGTACACTTGGCTAACGCAGTTTTAAAATGCGGATAACAAGAAATTTAAATATCAACTTGTTTTGGGGTGTTGTTTACTCTTCAACACACTACTCACCTAATGTAATCCTAATACGAGCTCTCTTGCCACTCAAAAACATTTTGTAATTAATATTAAAAGTTCATGCAAGCAAGTTGTCATGCTTTGTTTTAAAACTTTGACCCAACTTTTTTTTTAATAACATCACAATGGATACTGAAATAGCTCGTAAGAATTTTGAATATAATATTATGACAGTTGGCCCAGCTGATGATCAAATATGCCATTACGACAATATAGATCAAGTACAATAAACCACGACAAACCATGGATGACAAAATAATTTACATTTGATTTTATTACAACAGTCATTTGTTGTGATTATATTGTGCTTTTCATTATTAATAATATCAAGGGCTCAAAGTCCCTGGCCAAATTATCGTATAACCATTTTGATTTTTTATATATAGAGCATATTTCCGAAACATAGCACAGATAATGCGTTAAGTCGTTATTTCCACATCCACTCCGGTTTGTCTGGTGGACAAGTCCTTCCGCGTCACGACTCCTTACCAACGAACGATAAATAAATACATAATAATAAATAATATAAAATATTCAATGAATACTATATTAAAATACACGTTAAAATAAATTTATTTAATAAAGAGCAATAAGATTTCTATATTTTAAACACACGTTACAATGGTTTTTTGTACGTTCGTGTTCTTTAGGGTCACAACTTTCGATAAACTTAAATAAATGTCTGTTATTAAACCAAGGCTCTACTTTGAATTTACCTGATAAGACTTTGTTATTAAACCAATCTATACATCAAATTCTATCATATGTATCATATCAATGTCAATCACACTCTTCACTTTCGTATTCGTTTATAAAGACAAAATAACCACCAAAATCTTTAATACGATTATTCAACATTTCAATTTCATTCTCCCGTTGAAGATAATTTTCTACATTCTTTATTATACATGAGGTTTGTTAGAAATAGATTTTAAACAATCGCTTACATATTCATTCAGTCTTCGTTTTAATTCATTGATATCCTCAAAATCAAGATGATAATTATTATTTTTTTGAATGTTTCAATTTCACCTGCCCGTCGGAGATAAATATTTTGTGGTTTATTCAAAATAGATTTTAAATAATTACTTGTAAGGTCATTTTGATTTTGTTTTAATTCATCGATATCTTTTTGAATACCCAACGGGTTGGATCGGAGCCCGGCGACGGGGTATCATACTCTTCTTTAATATGATTAGGAATTAAAGACTACATGGACAAAAAAGTCGTGCTCACGTTTAAACGATAATAGCACACAAAAAATATAGTAATAGCCTAAGTTCATCAAATTATACTCACTTCTCTAGCATTTATATTAAGATTTCGACCTTTTTTTTTTTTTGAATAATTATTAAACACAAAAATGAGTAAATAGTCGATTTTGATGATTAGTCAAAAAAATTTGGTCAAAGTTTATTTTTTTTTATTAATAATTCAATGCTAGAGAAGTGGAATTTTACATGTTTTATTAGGTGCATTTTCTAAGGTTGAGTGTGATTGTTTTGCCTATCGCACCTGTTGATCTTCCTCAGGCAGATCTTGCTATAGAATCAATCATTACAGCAATGAATCATCCAAATATTAATAATGATAAAATAAGTGTTAAAGTATACAGTATCTAGTACCATTAAGTGTGCTTACAGATTCGCAAGTAAATTCATAAACTTATTAGATGACAAGCGCAAGAGTAGCCAAAAGTTAAGCCGTAATCGGCCACACATGTTAAACAATAGGCGTCAACCGAAAGGCCATCTTGCAATATCATCATTTAACAGGAATTAAAAAAGTTTATTATTTCAAAAGAAATAAAATAAAGATAAAAAAGATAAAAAGATAAATAATTATAATGAATAAATTTATGCTGGAAAATAAATTAGTCATTCGTCAATTCTTTCATTATGATTACTAGAATCTAATGTTTATTAATTGAATTAAAAAATATTGTTAGCAATAATTAATGGATAGTAAGTTTCAATTAATTAATTAATAATGGAATTTTTATTCACCTTCAGCATTTAATAGAAGGGAGTTAAAATCAAGACTATCCAATGAACTATCATTACTTGTATAAATTTTTAAGCTTTTTGATTTAGCGATCTCTTCATCTAGTATTCTACTTGTATGATATGCACCTGGATGTGATTCATGTACTTGTTGCGAAACATTACTACCACCACTACTAGTAATATTATTACGATTATCATTATTATTTTTAATAACTTCATTATGTTTGTTAATAGCAAATCGGAAAAGCTCTCTACTAGTTGGTCTTTTTGATGGATCCACATCCCAACATCTCTGCATCATTTGCACATAATCTCCAGGCATTCCAGGCAATATTGGTGGTCGTAAACCTTCTGCACATATATCAAAAATCAAACGATGATTGTGAGCTCTATCATCAAATGGTGG